ATATCTACTTTTAGATTATAGAGTATAATGTTTTTTTAGCAAAAAGTTTAGTTTAATACCAATCGATCCTTTCTTATTTGAATAGTAAAGTTAAAGAATCATTTTTTATATTATGTATAGAAAATGAATTCTTATTTATGAGTTCTTTGATAAAATGATGCCTGATGAAACTCAGTGACTTGGCAAAACTATATAGTTTCGCTATTTTATTAATGACGAAACTTATAGTTTTACCAATTTGCCAACGGCTTTGTTAGATATCTATATTATTGGAATATTTGATTCTGTAACTGACCTTTTATCGATTCATTCAAAGTTTAGACTTATAATTTTTTTGTTATAAGGCCGTACCCTAAACAAATATTGCCATAATATAACAAATTTTAATAAAACCATATTTACTTAATTGATAGGCCGCATAATATTATATTTTATTATTGTTATTAACTTTATATTTATTTTTAATATAGAATTTACTTGCAGTAAATGAGAGGCAACATGGAAGTATTCTGTATATTCCACTAGCATTATCAATTTGTGACCTTCGTGAAACTGTAGTAGAAAGATTAAAAAATACTTATAGTGATCCTTTACTTTCTAATATTAATATTCCATCAGATGAATGGATTCGTCTGCAATTTTGTCCTGCAAATGCCACTACAATGCGAGCGATATATTATACTGGTCGATTCAGTGTAAAATTTAAAATACAAAATCAGATGCTTCAGAAAAGTAGTGAAGATGCACATTATTGTGCTGCACTTTTCAAATATCTTAGAGAATTTTGTATACAATACCACCAGTGGACTTGTTTAATCTCTGCTGATGATAAGCACAAGATTCCTATTGGGGAAGATGTTGCAGTTTCTATGGGTGTGCGAAATCGACGCACTATAGTTTCTCAAGAAAGCACTTTGGCTGCTGCTGATCATGATTTCTCAAAACTATCTCTAACACCGTCAGTTATATTTTTTATATCTATTCCTAATGATATCTCTGGGTCATTTTATGATGGACAGGTGTTTGTGTCATATAAAAATACTGGTTTTGAACCAAGCACAGCTATTAGACATTTGGCAGAATTTTTAAAAGTGTTAAATATTCAATATGCATGTCAAGTAATGCCACCAATTCTATGTCTTTACACTGATGGAGGTCCGGACCATCGTTGTAATTATGGTTCAGTACAAATTGCATTACTTAGTCTTTTTTTTTGTGGAGATTTTGATTTGCTTGTTGCTGTTCGTACTGCCCCCAATCATAGTTGAACGAATCCCGTGGAGCGAATTATGAGTACTTTAAATTTAGGGCTTCAAGGTTAGTGAAAAAATTTATTATACGCATATGCGCTATATAGGTAATTTCGATAATACATGTGATGAGTGAATAGTAGGTTTAAAATTATGTGCGCAATGCAAACCTAATTTTTTTTTCCTGTTCAAGGTGTAGCGTTAAAGCGTGACTCGATGAGTCCCGAATCTGAATTATTATTTGGAATATCAAATATATTAGATGATATACGCAAAAAAGCACAAAAATCTAGTAAATTAAAGTCTGAGTTAAAAGAATATACTTCAGGTGTTAAAGAAATATTAAATAGTCGAACTGAACGACTTCAATTGAAAAATAATCAATTTAAACACTTTTTACCTGCAAGCGAAGAAGCCATTGCAGAGATATTTGAAGTAAATACGGTATTTATTATTTTTATTGCTTAAATATTATAATTACTATAATTATTCACTGCATTTCACAAATATTATTAATTTAAATTTTCTTTATTTTTTTTTTTTTTTTTTTTTTTTTTTTTTTATTCTTTGACGAGTCCGCTAGATA